TTTTGCTACAAAAGAACTGGAAAAGAAAAAGATTAAGAACGCAAAACACCTATTCCCTCACGATCCTCATTCAAAAGATGCTGAATTTGGAGCGGAGGGTCTTCATAAAAACTAACTCCCTGAGCCGAAGTGTGCGCCAAGTCTGCAAGTCGATTAGCACAGCGATTACTTTCTCGGCAGATATGTCGAATGTCAACAATCCAGTCACCTTTTGATCAGCTCTAAACAATCATTGATGAGGGTGTGACATGGATGTGAATCAATAACACCATTTCGGAGAAACTGAACGACGACCATGGCATCAAGCTCAATAATCAATCTGCTCACATTACGCATCTTTGCCAAAAACAATACCTTGTCTAATACCCCATAATTCTGCTTCTAGACTTCCTGTAATACCAATGTTCAACAGAAACCCTGCTACCCACAATCCATTTGAGTCCTTAATCAATCCGCCAGCTGAAGCATGTCCATCAACTAACCGACTAGAGCCATCAGTATTAAGCAAAAGAACACCATCTGGTGGGGTACGCCAAACAATCATGCGGCCAGCATTTGATGGTGTAGGCGCTAGAGAACCATTAGCCGCAGCACACTCGACGGCCAATTTAACAGCATAATTTAAGATTGACTCCACACATGGGCGGTGACCATCAAACAAAAGTCTATTGCGAGCTTCCAAACACTCCATAAGATAGATGTAAATAATGAACCCCAAACAAGATTTCGATCGTACCTTATGATTAGAAGTTGCATTTTGATACAACCAATCCGGCAAGGAAGCATCAAAAGTCACATGCACTCCAAAACGTCGGTAGACACAACTCCATAAGCCATCAACAAAAGGACAATATCGAAGTATATGATCTAAAGTCTCCTCCCCAATCTCACATAAAGAACATGTCTTATTATCAACTACTCCTTTACGGAATAAAACCTCCTTTGAATTTAAGCAATTAAAGAAAGCCAACCAAAGAAAGAACCGTAACCTTTCTTGTACCTCTAGTTTCCAAATCCAAAGACACTTCCCCGACCAATAGTCCGCAACAAAATGGTTCGCAAGGCCTTTATAAGCTGAAGCAGCTGTGAATTGACCATGTTTGTCCCATCCCCAAATACATTGATCTGCCTTTTTTGCCTGTATTGGAGTCGGCGTAGCTTGGATTTCTGCAATTTTTGACCCCGAAAGAAGACTACTCAGATCATCACATTTACATGAACCATCATCTTGTAAGATCGAGGCAACCTTGCAAGATAACGATGGAACCTGTGTACTAGGTGGAACCTCCTTAATTAAAGGGCCATCACCAACCCACCAATCGTACCACAAGCTAATAGACTTGCCATCACCTATTAACCATCGAGAACCTCTCTGCACACAATCTTTTGTTCTCAACAGACCCCGCCAAGTAGAGGAAGCCCTTCCCCAAGTTTCCACATCAAGAAACTGAGACCCTTTCAGATATTTTTTCTGGAAAATTTCTAAGCAAAGTGATTGCTGCCTTGTTTGCAATTTCCAAGCCCACCTTAGACAACAAAGCAACATTCGAAATCCTTGCCTTACGAAGGCCTAAGCCTCCATTCCCTTTAGGTCGACAAACACGATCCCAATTCACAAGATGTCCCCTAGAGTTATCCACATCCCCACCCCATAAAAAATTCCTATTTAATTGATCCAGACGCTCAGCAGTAGACGCAGGCAACAATGCCGTTTGCATAGTATAAATAGGAATAGAGCTTAAGGTGGATTGGATGAGAGTTCTCCTCCCTGCATAACTCAAAACCTTACCTTTCCAATTGGCCAATCTCCGAAGGACCTTATCAACGACATGTTGGTAGGTGGCTTTAGAAACCTTACCATGGATGATAGGAACTCCAAGATAAGTCCCAAGCTCTTGAGCCAACGGAATTCCACACAACCTGCTTAAAACAGTTGCTTTTTGTTGGTGAACATTAGGCGAAAACCACAGTTTAGACTTCTCCAAGCTAACTCGTAAACCCGAGGCCTTTGCAAATTCATCAAGGACATCGGTAATTACATTAACCTGATCTTCGGAAGCCTCAGCAAATAACATCAAGTCATCCGCAAAGAACAAATGCGACACCATGGGGCCAGACCTTGATGCCTTCACTGGATGCCACACTTTATGCTCCACTCTCTCTAAAATCATATGAGATAACCGCTCCATCACCAAAATAAACAAGTATGGCGATAATGGGTCTCCTTGGCGTAAACCTTGTTGAGGATGAAACGCTGGCAACACCTCCCCATTCCAGATTATGGCCAAATCAATATTTGAAACACAATACATTATCAAATTAATCAAACCAGCAGGGAAATCATAGAAAACCAAAACCTCGCGGAGAAAGCTCCAGGAAACATTATCATATGCCTTTTGAAGATCAATCTTTGCAATCACAGCCCCTTTACTACCTTTGCGACCCATAAGAGAATGGACAATCTCTTGTGTAATCAAGATATTATCTGTTGTACTTCTACCTGCAAGAAAACTGTTTCGAAAGGGTCTAATGATACGCTGCAGAATAGGCCTCAACCTATTAACTATTACTTTAGATAAAATCTTATATGAAGTATTCAATAAAGTAATAGGACGAAAATCTTTTACCGTCGTAGGGCAATTTCCCTTCGGTATAAGAACCATGTGAGCATGCAAAACATTTAAATCAACCCGTTGATTAGCAAAGGCCATAGCAACAAAATTGAACACTGTCTCTTTCACTGTCTCCCATTGTTTCTGATAGAAAATAGGTTGCACCCCGTCCACTCCAGGAGCCTTTAGACCTTTCATTAGAAAAAAGTTACCAATCTAACCTCCTCAATCCGTAGTGGAGAAAGCAAAGCCTGTTTCTCATCACTCGAAATTTTCAAACAGAAGGAATCATAAACAGCCATCAAGTTTAAGCTAGGTTGGCGTCCAAATAAAGAGGAGAAAAAATCGAGAACATGCCGACACAATAAATCAGGACTTGTAACCCGATTCTCATCTATCTTTAAAGCTGAGATCAAATTACGGTGCCGTCTAACCATAGTGGTTAAATGAAAAAACTTTGTGTTTCGTTCACCCTGCTGCACCCAATTCAACCTAGACTTTTGAAACCACAACAGTTCTTCCTGCAAGAGAATTTGTTGATACTCACCACGTAATTGAACTTCAAGCTTTTGTAGGAAATCCGAAATACCATACTCATTACAACATTGAATACCACGAATTCTTGCAAGCAACAATCGTTTCTTTTTATGAATATTCCCAAACACTTCAGATTTCCAAACAGTAACTGCCTTCACCACTTCATCAATTGCTTTCGGTAAGGAACCCTCACCTTTCTCCCAAGCTAAAGAAAACATATCATCAAACTCTGAATGAACCAGCCAGGCCGCCTCAAAACGGATAGGCCTATTCTTGGACTTATGATGTGTGCCAAGAAAATCAACAAACAACGGATGATGGTCCGAGCAAAGACAAGGGAGAACTAAAACCTTGGCATTCGAATTACAAGTGAGAGCTACGGCATTCCAAAGCAATCTATCCAACTTTTCTTGAAGAACCACTCGACCCCCAACTCTTCTAATCCACGTAAAACGGCATCCCGAAGTACCAGCATCTATTAAATTACATGTCTCCCAACGCTCTCTGAATTTCGTAATCTTATTAAAAGAATCCCCACTACCAGTTTGAATACTCCATCTCTCATCAAAGGCCGCAAAGTCATTAAAATCTCCAACTACATTCCATGGAGATGAGATAGATTGTGAGAATTCTATCATCTCTGCCCAAAATTGATCCTTCCATTGACAAGTTGGGCGAACATACACAAAGGAGACAACTTGACTCACCTTGTTCATATCACAACTAACATGGATACATTGAGTAGTAGAACCAATTATATCCAACTGACAAGAATTTGAGTTCCAAACCAAAGCAATCCCCCCTGCCATGCCTTCTGATGGAATTGCGAAAAAATTAGAGAAACGCAAAATCTTTGCCATTTTTTCCACCTTCACAATATCAGCCTTGATCTCCAATAAACAGAGGATATTAGGCTTATACTCCTTTAGAATCTCTTTCACCGTTCTACGAAGTTTGGCATATTTCAACCCTCTGCTATTCCAAACAATTAACTTCATTTAATTAATAGGGGAAGTAACAAGCTGGCTATCACCAGCATCATCTTGCATGGAGACATCTGTAACCCCAATTCCATTAACCATAACAGGCTTATCTGAATTAGATCCATCGCACTGAACCTCTATAGATGAGGAAATCTCACTACTTTGGCGAGCAACTATTCCTGGGTCGGAAAGGGTTGGACTTGGACTACTGGTGTCACGAGTATCCCGACTACCCAAGTCTGTAGGTTGCAAATACTGCTCCTTATCCATCCCAGAAGCAAATCTCAATTTTTCTTTGCCAGCCGAGTTCTCTGCCATCGTCCCTTTCACCACATAACAACGCCCCTTCTGTTGAGCATTATTTACCAAGTGAATTGGCTTTGTATGAGCTTTTGGTTTGCTAGGTCCAACCTTAGGCCCAGATGAAGAAGCCTCAGCACTGAAAACAAAGCCTTTGTCTTGTAAATTAAACACACTCTGACCCAAATTAAAATTGGGTTTCGCCCCCATTTGAGCCACATCCTTAGCAACCTTTTTCCCCTTATAAATTGGCTTTGCAGCACTTGGAATAACAGGCGCGTCTCCCTTATTTTTCTCCATAACTCCCTTAAAGTTAGCAGATTTCTTCACATTCAAATTATCTGCGGTAACTCCTTTATGATAATCAAATCCATTCCTAAAATCACGGATGACAGATTTGCCTCCATGAATCACGCCTTGCGCTGCTCCCGGTTTTCCTGGATTCCTCTTCCGCCGCTGTACCATCATCCATGGCCCGTAGGTTTGATCTTTCGGTTCCTCCTGCGTTTCTGGCACCATAGAAGGTTGCGGCTCTCCCTCCTTCTCAGAACTACTCGGCTTTTGCAGAGGACAATCACTTTTCCGATGACCGAAAATGCCACAGTCAAAACAGATAAGTGACAAACCTTCATATTCGATAAGAACATCCCGACCCTCCACCGTCAACCTCGGCTTCAATGGCTTAGAAAGGTCCAATTCCACACATACCCGAGCAAATTTTCCTCTCGTGCCTTCATCAGTTACCTGGTCAATTTTAATCACTCGACCAACTTTTCCCCCCATTTTCTTTAACGCAATCATGTTAAAATATTCCACGGGTATATTGGGAAATCTGATCCAAATAATAAGCTTCTCGATTTTGTCTGAGCTAGGCATAAAATTGGGTCGCCATTGACGAACAGTCAAGTAATGACCGCCTATGATCCATGGCCCTCCTTCCAAAACATGCTCATAATCAACTTTCTTTTGGAAACGGATGATAAAATAATCATGCTCCAAGTCTGTGACTTTGTAATCTCCTTCCAATTTCCACAACTGATTAATTCTGGATGTCAAAGCAGAAAACCCCAAAACCTTCCCTAACAACTTCACTATAAGGGCATTTCTCCATGGCTTACGCATAGCCTCCTTCTCCTCTTTGGAAAACGTGATGCAATCGTCATCCCCTTCACCCATGGTTTCTGTATCGGAATCTGCATCACCAAAAGACATAACATTTGTTGGATCTACATTTGCCCAATCCTCCCAATCTCCTGCTTTAGATTTGTTAACCCCTTTCACCATGTTTGCGAAGGACGGTGCGCCTGTTCCCTCAATGAAATCTGCTTCTTGATCAACGATCTCCTGCTCACTATCATTTGGATGTCGCCGCCGTTTAAACCTTTTCCTCGTTCGATTGATGATATCCTGGTTGATAGTTGACTTTCGTGGAGAGTTCTCCATTACATGGAATGCTTATTAGTACTGCTGCGGTTTTACCAAAAAAAAAATCATATGATATTAAATAAACCATCAATTGAAATCATAAAATTTCGGAAGATTTTTAAAGTTGAACCATAAAAATTAGCTTTTAAGTGCTTAATGAAAGTTGTGGATCATGAAATAAACTTTAAATAGATACCTAGATTACCTCAATTGGACAAATATAACAAACAAAAAAAAGCTTAAGCATAAAATCGAGTAAGATAGAATTTATAAAGGACTAAGTAGTATAAAGTAGAAAAGTATGAGGGTCATTTGATAAATAATCTAAATACGAAAATGTTTGTTAATGGAGATTTTGAAACATAAAAATTCCCTTTTGAACCCTTCATGAAATTCCTAAATTAAATTTAGCTTTCGGGTCCTTCATCAAAGTCATGCAATTACCTTTTAACCGACACTTGAATAACTTTAATGGGACATGTGGATTGAAAATTATATGGTATTAAATAAACCGGCAATCAAACCCACCAAATTTGGGAAGCATTTTCTTTGATTAAAACATAAAAATTGGCTTTTGAGTCCTTTATGAAAGTTGTAAATCATGAAATTACCTTTTAATAGAAACTTGAATCAGCTTAATCGGATAAATATAACAAAAAAATAAAAAAAAATAAAGTTGAAGCGTTAAATCGATTAAGATAGAATTAGTGGAGGACTAAGTAGTATAAAGTAGAAAAATATGAGGGTCATTTGATAAATAATTCAACTAAGAAAATGTTCATTGATGGAGATCTTGAAACATAAAAATTTCCTTTTGAACCCTTCATGAAACTCGTCAATCAAATTTAGCTTTCGGGTCCTTCATGAAAGTTATATATCCTGCAATAATCTTTCAACCGACACTTAAATAACTTCAATCAGACATGTGGACAAAAAATTATACGATATTAAATAGATTGTCAATCAAAATCATAAAATTTCGGAAGCATTTTTCAGAATCCAAACATTAAAATTGGCTTTTAAGTTCTCCATGAAAATTGTAGATCATGAGATTCCTTTTAATAGACATTTAAATCATCTTAATCGGACAAATAGAACAAAAAATACAAGAATAAAAGGCAACACGTTAAACGATCCAACTTATAATTGTAAATGATTAAATAGTAGAAAGCATAAAAGTATGGGGATCATTAGATAAATAATCCAACAAAAAAATATTAGTTTATGGAGAATGAAACCCCAAATAGTAACTTTTTAACAAAGTTCCCAAAATATCTTCAATCATCAACCCAAATAACGAAAAAACCTAACATAAAAGTACCGAAATAACCCTCTCAATTTGTCCTTGGTAAATGTGGTGAGGTTATTCAACCGATTTTTTGTGCTTTCACTTCCAACTATTATTGTTTTTTATAATTTTTTATAATATATATATGGTTTATTTATGGGCCCAAATCCGAACCGAAAAGGTCTTCATTTAACAATTGATTGGTTAACCTTTTTAAAATTTTTGGGTTATTATCATGGCCTGGTGGTAGAGTGTTGGACTCTTAGTTCTAGTGTATCTGCCTGGACCATAAGGTTTTGGGTTCTAGTCTCACAAAATGTGAGTTTACTTTGTAATTTATTTGTTTGTGTATTTGGTATGTTGGTAGTTATAGATGAAATTAGAGATTTGGCAAAATCCTTTTTTTTTTGGCCGATAGAAACAACCATTTGTATTAAGGAATTAAAAACCAGTACATCTGACACAACACAGCAACAGGAAACAAGAAATTAAGAACAAATAACAGGGATAGGAAGGCTAAGAACAAATAACAGGGATATGAAAACACCATTGCATCTGAAAGAGAATCATAGAAATGAAACTCAAAGATGCAAAGGGTCTCCAAACTAGCAAAAAACACACAAGGAAATAACAAAGGTTGCAGGTCAACTATCCAGCAAGATGGAGATGGGGGATGAGAATCCCAACCCATAGCGGGGCACATTTCCATTTTAACGATCGCTACAATAGCTTCCCTCTGGAACAAATGAAATTTCCAGCTGCAAAGAGGGGCAAGTAAACCACTAGGAAGCAACAGGAGCTTTATGATAATCACTATAATCAGAATCCCTGAGGTAACTGCAGAATCTTCAACCCTATCAAAACCACTGTTTATATTCATTTTACCCCATCTTATAGGTGGTAGAGCCCATTTATGTGAACCATCAATGATTTCAACAAGGACCTTCACAGTATTCTGCTCAACCAAAGTTGGCAATCCAGACATAGCATCATCACTCTTCTCCATATTCCCAGCTTCCATTCGCAGTAAAAGATACCTCCTCCAAGTAAAACAAACAACGATACCAAAGAACACACCAGTCCTACCTCTAACTACACTATATATATAAGGATTAAAGACAGTAAGGAAATTTAAAGGCGGGTCAAAGATGAGAGAAAACCGTTTAAGCACGTTAACAGTCAAGGTAGACCCCTGTCCTTGACTGAACCAAACCCAGATGGTCATGGAGGAGGGGTGGCTGTTGCAGCACAGCCACCAGAAACCTCAGAGAGAATAAAAGGAACAGCCAAGGGCACCTTATTCAGAATAAAGCAAAATCTCATCACAGCCCAGAGATTCTCAATTACAGTTTAATAAAGCAAATTAGCAGACTGGGTAATTGGATATAGGTTTAGACCGATCTCACCTATTATTGGAGTCTCCGCCTCCAGCAACACGTTCCTAAACAGAATCATCATAAGCGGAAACCTTTGATTACGGCCAGATTGACCCATGAGCTCTTCAATTTCCAGACTCTCCCCAATCTTAGGCCCAATCTTTCTCACATTAGCCGTAGAAAACACTTCTCTTGGAAGGTTATGGATTTGGACCCAATAAGCCACATCAGATAGATCAGCCGCCATCGCAAATAACTCCGGTGGCCAGACTTTAACATTGAAACAAAAACCCATAACTGAAGAGAAAGCAAGGCTGTAAACATTGGGTACCACTTCCCCGATCACTGGTGCTATTTTCTCCGGCCAAATATTCCGAATAATAGCTCTCACAGCCCCCAATTGAGATTCTTCTCAGCGATGATCTTCTCAATCGCCATCGATCCATGGTTTACCTCTGTCAATTGTGTGTTCGCCGACAGATCTATAATTAGTTCTTCCATTCAAACAAAGTAGTAAAAAAGCTTAAGGGGAAAAAAAAGAAAAAAGGCGGAGAAAGATTGAGAAATGGATGCGCCGTCAAGAGAAAAGAGGAAAAAAGGGAAAAAAAAACCCTAGAAAAAGGGTAGATCTCTTACTGGAAGAGGAAGACTCTCATGATGAGAGAGAGACTCTCAAAGAAGAGAGAGAAAGTGCCTTTTTGCTTCTATGTATATTGTTGAGTGCAAAATCCTATTTGATTTATGTACGTTTCAATTTGTAAATAGAGAAGCCAATATATTAGAACATTCTCTAGTTAAAATTGAGCTGGATAATCATGTGGTACCGGACTATTCCTCCCGATTTGTAATCTCTTATTATTGATTAATGAAACTGATTATTTGATTAAAAAAATCTCCTATCTCATCGTGTAATAATAATAGCTAAAATTAGCAAAGACAATTTATTGAAAACAGAATGTAATTTATGTGGAATTTACCCTAATATTATATGTTTCAATTTTACTTACTATTATTAAATTTCCCAACACAAGACAAAGATTAATAGTAACTTGGCGAAAAAAAGAAAAGGATAGTGAATTTTCCTTTGTGGCCATGGATATGACTATTAACATTCACTTAGAAGACTGAAGAGGTTTTAATCTACAACTTGATTCATGAACACCTCCAATAAACTAATCCACGTTGGACTGAAGGTACTATATATGTTGAAGTTGAGCAATGTTGTTATTGGATGAGGGGTTTCATTGGATTCTTTTAGCACACTAATTCTGACCTGACGCATCCACACAATACCAAAAATTCTGCCCATCAAATATCAATATCATCATCACAATCTAAATTCCACAATCCTTCACAGAATAAAGTGAAAGCAGGGCAAATATATTTCCGTCTTCCTTTCTACCATGATTTTAATTTCATCCATCATTAAAACTTTCCACGCACTTGAGGAAAGTACATCACCATTTATAATATCTACCGATCACAATTCAAGTTAAGCTAAATGCTTAGGTGACAGATTTTTTTGTTGTTAAACTTAGGTGACATAAATCAATATACTGAATTTTGAATTTTCCTAACTATATATTCATATTATTATTGGTAGATAATTTGTAAATTCAAATATAAAAATTTAATGGATTCATTAATTCATTTTAATATGAATCATGTTTTTGTGCCTAATCCCGTAGCAAAGTTTGCCACGACCTTTGCAACGGAATATGAATAATTTAATTTTTTTTTTTCAATCAGGTTGTGTCTAAATTCGTTGCAATTTGATACGTCCTTTGCCGCAAAAATATGTTTAAATTTTTAATCCTGAAGTTGTGACTACTATCATTGAAAAATTTCTCACGAGTTTTCGCAGATTACGTTTGAGAAATTTCGTGCTAAATTGTCTGAAATTTCATGTTTCAACATCAATATACACGCGGCCTTTGAAACGGGTCGTGGCCCGTGGGTAATGGTTTGCAGCGGGCCTCTCTTTTCTGTGACAAATTATTTTGGCATAACTGGTTAAGTCGCACCCCCTAAACTAGGGGTGCAAACGAGCCGAGCTCGAACGAGTTCGAACACGAACCAGTCGTGTTCGTGAACATTTGGCTTGTTCGAACTCGGCTCGTGTTCGTTTAAAATTTTGATATAGTATTCGAGTTCGTGTTCGTTTATTAACGCAATGTTCGTGTTCGTTTATGTTCGGCTCGTTTAAATAAACTTGTTCGTGAACAATAAACGAACGTATTCATAAACACTAATTGAGTCTGTTCATAAGCAAATATTATTATAAGTATTTTATAAGAAATTAATTTCTAATAATTACATGTTATTTCTAATAATATTTATTGCATATATTAAAT